ACAAAACATTTCATTTTAAAGCTTTAAAATATGTTATTTAAAAGAATATTGATGTACAGTTTAGTGAAGCAGCTTTCATATAGAAATAATGAAGTGTTTTCTCTCTAAAATATCAAACCATGTGTACTTCACATGCTTTAAAATTTCATTCATTGTGAATATATTTGCCATGTGTGGGTTTTGTTTGTTTTTTTTTTTTTTTCCCCCAAAACAAACTGATGAAATTGTCCCTGCCATGTGAGATCTTTCAGTTGACATAAATGGTTGGGGTTTATTATGGGAGAAAAAAGTTTCACTCTAGAGTAAAAAAAACTTTTCCAGTCCTTCCAGCGTCAGCGCCAGGTTCCTATTGTATTTGACTGGAGAATTATGCTGAGGACCCTGATAGAGTTTATTTGACAGAGTGTCAGAAAAGGATTCCCCCTCCCCCCTTTTTTTTTGAGAACTTATGTGTTTCAAATCATTACTGTGATCTCCTGGTTTAATCTCATCTCTGCTTTAGTAACACTGATTTCAGCCAGGAGAGGTTTTGACCCTCATTATTTCTCTTTTATGAAGCAATTAATATAGAAAATACTCACAAGGTGCCTTAGAGAAAAGTTCATTAGCCTTTAGCAGGATTATTAATATAGAGATTCTGAGGAATTGATGTGCATTGTTTTCCCTTTAAAAACTGTAAGCAGCTTTGTTAGTGCACTGTAATGAGTCTCCATCTTCCTCTGATTAGCTAGGGGTCATTAAAACACTGAGCATGTTTTGGCAAATGCAGCAAAGCGAACCAGCCTGGAGTGCAGATGAAGTACTTAGTAACCCTGAAAGCTTTGGGCTGTGTGAAGGAAAAGGAAACAAAGCAAACCATAAATGTCATCAGGTCTTACCCAAACCTGAGAAGCAAGTTTCACAGTATAAACACATTTTAATATACAAGATAGTTCAAGCAGCTTATTCAGTGTTTCTTGAACTGAAATCAGTGCTTAGATAAGCAAACACAGTGTGTGTTCAAGACCCTCAAATATTTTTAAAACATGTAGGAGGGGCTAGAGAGACCTGAACAGTCTCCTTAACCTATTTCTCTGTGAGCTTGTACAGATAGCTATATTCTTCAACTTCTGGCTTTCATCTGCTAGTCAGTTAAAATATTCTCCAGGGGTGCTGGTGTGTAATAATCAAGGCTGAATAAGCATGTGCAGGCTTAATATGCGCACACCTACAGACACCAGCTGTCTTTGGGACAACAAACTCAAACCTGTATGCGACATGGCAGATGTTTGCATTGTGCAGCTCCTCATCTTTGTCAGCCAGCGACTGACAGATTCCTGCAGGTGGTCGCTTAAGCCTTGTTTCCCTGAAAGCCATTAGCTTTGCCCGTCAGCTAAAACCACGTCTCAGGGTTGGTTGTATATGCCAAAGGTGTGTTGACTTGGATATAATGCTTTGCATTAACATTACTGTGTGCGTTTTTTGCACTGTCACACTAACTCAAGAACCACAACGGAATTTTTACAAATCCCTAACTTTGATTTCCTGTAAGATGGCTGTATGAAAGGACTAACCTCTGTCATCGAACAGGGCTTCAATTCTTTGAGAAAGAAAAGAACAGGATTGTCTGCCAAGACCTATTTCTGTCCTTTTCTTTCCATCTCATCAACTTGCTTTCCCATTGCTCTGTTGGTCAGCCCAAAAGCCCACAAGGAAGAGCTGATACTTCTCACTGCGTGCCCACTTTCAGCATTGCACCAACCAGCTTTTCATCTTTCCCTGTTTTCGTACTAAGGTACTTCACCCAGTGGAGCGCACACTGAGCCCTGGACCTTTGTGGTAGTGCAAGATCCATACTTAAAACACAAGATTCGTGAGATAGTCGAAGAAGAAGAAGAGATCAACTACAAAAGGAGGATGGGAGACAGATGGGTTAATGATCTGAAAAGACTGAGGTATGAAAAAGTCCACTGGCTAAGGGGTTTGAAGGGAGCTGTTCTTTGGTCCAGGAAAGACGATATTGGGAAGTTTTAGTCATGCTTCTTGTTAGTTTGCATTTTTTCCCCTTATTTTTCAGGGAGGAAAAAAAAAAACAAGCTGAAAATATTCAGATCAATTTTAAAAACCTTTTTTTAAAAATGTTTTTTTAAGTCTGTGCTCCTTAATCTCTCCCCAGTTTTCTGGTGCTTCTTAAGAGGGGGGTTGTAAATATTTCCCACTGCCTGATCAGAGAAAAAGAAGGAAGGTGGGGTCAGACACTCCCCCAGCAGAGAGCTGCCAGGGTTGCTGTATCGTAGTCCTGTTTCCAATTTACAGCCAGGAAGAAGAAACTCCTGTCTGAGGAAAGTGGCTTTCCCACCCTGCAGGAGCCGAAAAAAAAAAATTATTATCTATATATGTTAATTCTGGATACCCTGCTCTGAGGGCCAGGTGAGATGCAGCGCCTGGCTGATACACACAAAGGAAAAACTCGCTATGCCTATGTGTTCCATCTTGCCAGAAGAAGTGTGAAATAAGTGGCTCAGATGTTCAGCGTACCCTTTCCTATTGTACGACTTTGTCTTGATTCTCAAGATGATGGGAATCTTACAGGAAGCACCACAGTTTAGCAAACTGAAGTGATAAAAGAAGCTTGTCTTGAATTCTACTACTAACCTTGTCCTTTTCTTCCTCCCTCTCACTTTTCATGTATTTCTAAGATTCATGTTTGGAAAGAAAAATCAAGAAATACGTGAAGAATTGTGCCTTGGTGGCTGGCTCATAAAATTGCCTCTAGTAAAAGGGATTATATACTCTTCATCTTGAAGCTTTTATGAACATTTGGCTCCATCGTTATTATTTTTCTATGTAACCTCTCTTGCCATAACTCTTGTCCCAATTTTTTCCTGTTGTTTGCCAAACAATGAAGCTCCCAAAGCCATTGGGAGTTTTGCTACTGACTGAGGTAGCCCCAAGGCTTGACTCTATGCAAGTGGTAAATTATGCAATATTTAATTGTTCCAACTGGCCTCCAAAGTCTGACTGACTTGCTTAACTTCGCACAATGGGAAGGCATATACTGAGACTTGCCGGGTCAAATGAAACATATGCACAAAGCTTTACAGGGCTGATTTGCCCTACTTGTTTCATAATGTCATTGTTTTTCAGGTGCTTATGTGCTATGTAAATTTATCTGCTGTGTAAACAACTAAAATATAGCAATTTTTATGTTTTGAGTGAGAACAGTAGAAAGCACACATTTTCTTATCTAAATCCTACATCATAATTGTATGTATTGTAATTTAAAAAAAAATGGAACCAAATGAATTCTAACAGGGCTGCAATACCCAGAAACATAAGAACATTTATGGCTCTGGGAATATAGTTGGGTTTACCCCTTAGACCAGAAAGTTTTCAACTTTTCTTCCAGCAGTTTTCCCTGCAATCACAAAAGAGTTGGCACTGCGGATAACAAGTGGAGCTGCAGGCCTGCAAAATTACAGGAATTAAATAACCTCAAGGGCAAATGCTCATGAGACCAGTTCATTGATAAGAGGTCAAGTACTACCTCCTATTTTTATGAAATTCCACTCTTTTAGAGTGGGTGCATCAACTCCTCAGCTAAATATGTTAAAACTGATAACTCTCCCCAAGGTTTGTTTTTTTCAGAAGTGGTTCTATTTAAGCTGATAATACTTAATTCTTTGCAGTAAATGTTCTAAGCTTTAGTGTACTGCTGTAATTGTCACGTACCTTTAGTGTGCCTTTGCAGCCAGTAAATGTGACTTATGGGAAAGTGAAAAGGTTGCAAAATTAATGTCTTAAACATTATTCTTTTGCAGAACAAACTGGATCAAAGAGTACTTGGACACTGCTCCCTATCTAATCCTCATTTTCAAGCAAGTATATGGGTGGCTTCCAAATGGCAAAAAGAAGACCCACTACTACAATGAAATCAGTGTTTCTATTGCATGTGGTATCCTGCTTGCTGCACTGCAGGTACATTGACAGAACCGACGTATTGGAAGTCAATATATTGGTTTGGTTTACATACCAACACCATTCTGCCCAAATGAGAGTGGAACCCAATTCAGATTTTAACATTATCAGTCCTCTGGATTACTCCAGTTCCTGGCAATATAACTTACTTTTGAGTTTTAAAGTTATTCTGCACAGGCCCACAACTGAGAAGGCGATTCCTATCCTCAGTACTGGTTAACAAGAAGAAAAGTGTAATGCAGCTCACCTCCAGAGTTGTCACTCTTCTCCCAGCACAGGCTTCAGCCCCTGTGGTTTCTGCCTGATGCTAACAGTGCTGACCGGGTCTGCAGATTACCCAGGCATGGCTGTACAGTGCCACACTGGCCCCTGCTTTTCAGTAATCCCTAAAAAATGGCTTGACCCCAGATCATTTTAGTGATCAATGCTGGAAGAAAAATTGGGGACATATTTCACAGAACAGGCTGTACTATTTCAGTCAGTCTTTCCGAGGCATTTCTGAAAGTGAACTCATGTCTAAAGCTCAGTGTGTTTGACACCAGACAGTTGGATTTTCTCAGTGGTTTCTCAGTGCTCAGTTCTGCTTGTTGTATCTGATGTACTCACACAAGTGTGTAAGTAGCGAAGCTATTCTGATTGCTAACTTGGCCTGTCAGCAGGATGACAGCAAGGTGCCACCTCTTACATTAGGCCAATTTCCTACCAGGAACTGTCATTTCTCCTCCATTCTGTTTTGAGTGACACCTCCCTGCCCTCATTGCTGCTCCTCAGGAGGGTCTTCAGAGTGCAAAATCTGAGAAGTGAGCAGGGCAGCAGCACATTGCTGGCATGTTGCTGCTCTGCAGCTGCACTGGGCTCTCTATTTTTATTTCCGTGGAGCTGAGAGCGAAAGGGATGTGCAGCGATGAGGCAGAACCAGCACTGTCTCGCTAGGTTCTCAGTCGGAAGCAGCAGGAGTAACAAGGCTACACTTTCCCCCGAGCCAGCCCACCATCAGGTGGGATTTCTGAGGCCCCCTACCAACTGTTCTGCTCCTTAGTGCTGTCTCTTTCCCAGCTCCTAGAAATTAATTGACAGCATTAAAGGACACAGTGCCATGGACCACCACTGTTAGCTCTTCTCCTCTTCAGAAGATCATAGAGATTACTTAACAGGAGAGGCTTATTGCCTGAGTACCTCTCCCTGGCTGACTTTTACATCTCAAACCCTCCCTGAATGCTTGCATTGTATATATAGAGAGAGACTGAAATCCACATTATGCAAGTCTCAGGAAGCACCTTAGCTGTGTGGTCACATTTTGGACAACATCAGCTGTTTACAATTTGTCAGATTGTTTAGCTTTCTTATGAGATTTCGTGTGAGAGGAGGAATGATGCATAGACTTCTTTTGCTGTTCTGATGTGAGCCAGAACACTGGCCACTGCAAGAGATGGGCAACAGGCTCCTGTGACAACTTCCGAGGCAGAGCCTCTGCCCCCTGTCCCTGTCAGGTACAGCTCCTGAGCAGGAACACATGTTCACAAAGCTGCAAGGCATCTTCCTGCCAGCTGTGTGGAGGCAAGGACCCACATATTTCTCTGTGTGAGCCAGACGAACCCCATGGGATCATATTCCAGTGATATGGCCACAACTGCCTCTCAGCTTTACTGTGGCCGTAGGTCCCCCATTACACCGAGCACTGCAGGCAGGCTCCTGCTGCACAGCATACAGACGTGTCAGGCAGAGTGTGCTGCCGCTGCGGTGGAGAAATGCTGTACTACTCTGTAAGCAAAGCAGGCATCTTTTATGGTACTGTGGAGGCTATTAGTAAATCAGATGTTCTAAAGCCTGCAGCAGAGTCTGTCGAAGCAGCATTTCTGGACTAGTCAACAGGAGGATGTGTACGGGTCTGGTGGGAATAACGGACACAAATACAGAGCACAGACCTCTGTCTCACTCTGCTGCTGTCTGTCTTGCTGCAGAACGCAGGTCTGTACACCGTGACCTCCACACCCCTCAACTGCGGCCCCCAACTCCGGGTGCTGCTCCAGCGCCCAGCTAAAGAGAAGCTACTCTTGCTGCTCCCTGTTGGCTACCCCAAGAAAGGCGCTACTGTGCCTGCGCTGACCCGAAAGCCGCTGGAAGACATCATGGTGGTCGTGTGAGCCCAGCGCCACGAGGAAGGAGCGCGTCCCCGCCGCCAGCTAGCGAGCAGCAGCCTGCTGAAGGCGTCACTGCTGTTTCTGTGTGTCGTTCTCCTATGCCACCACTGCTCTGCCTGCTTACACCTGTGTTTCCTTTAGTGCTAGTAATCTACTTACAGCAGCGAGCAGTCAAGCACTGTGCGTTTGACAGGTGCTATTACCAGTGAGCCCAGGCAGCTTTTCCACGGGACACCTACAATGGCATTTAAATGACCTTCATCGCTCGATTTTTCTTATGCATTGTAGGGACATATCTTTTCTTGAACTGGGATGTACATTCTCCTTATACTTTGGTGATTACCATTACAGAGTTATTTTCACTTCAGAATTTTAATAGAGGTTGTATTAAAAGATAGAAAGAGGTCAAACTCAGCTATTTAAGTATGTCTTCCCCTTCACTGTGTTCAGTTCTGTGGGGAAGGAAGCTTTTTTTCTGTTGTACAGTTGCGTTTTCTCTACTTAATTAATCTGAAAAATCTTGTCTATACCAGGCTTTCTTAAACTGTTGCTGGCACAAGTGTCTTCGGCTGGGGGAGATCTAGTAGGAAGAAGGCATTCAAGTAATTTCCTTATTGCCATTTATTTATACATGTTGCAGGCATGGTTAGATCACACAGCAGCTATAAATTGTGCCCCCTGTATTTGCTCTTTCCACTGGAAGCAGCCCAGAGGGAAGTACTATTCTGGTTATCCTGTTTGTACCTTCAACTATACCAGTTTAACACCCTGAAATTTAAACTGCTTTAGAGACCCTGGCACATGACATGTGCTTTCATGTGACACCAAATCAGGCATATTTAGGTTTATTTTAAGGAAACTTCCCACAACCGCAGTGCTCCTTACGAAAAACCCTTGTCTACAGGCTAGAGGGGAACGGACACCAGTAGGAGCTGCTTACTGGGAGGGTGAGTGCTGCTGGTGCCTGTGCTGGCAGAGCCCTCTCGTGGGGTTGTGGCTCCTGCGGCTTTGGGAGCAGCACAAGTTGAAATGCCGAGAGAGAGACATGCTTCCCTGAAGGTGTCTGTATTCCGGGAAATACTTTCCCACCCTGCTCTCTGTTGCATGTAACTTCAGGCAGATGCAGCCAAATTGGCTGCTGCCTTCCTTGGCGGTTGCTCACGTTAACTTGCTGCGCCTTGTCTGAAGCCAGTCTTACTTAACATGACCTGTTGTCTGCTGAGCAAGTGGAGGGGATAAAGTTTTGCAGAGGTACAGCTTTTTGTGGTGTCGGTGCCTCTGTCACTCAATGAGAAAAACTGTTCTCCTCTTTGGCAGACCACTTTGCTGGTATTTGGCAGGCACGGCAATGTGTTCACCTGTGTCACATCCTCAGTGGTACAGCAATGACAGGAAGAGCATCTCATGTAGACCTAGTCTGAAATGTGCTTTTGTAACTACTGTGAAATAAAAAAAGAAGTCGTGTGTCTACAGGCTTGCAAAGCCTAAAAGCTAGTAAGGGAGAGAAGGATGAGCCGAACCAACCCAATGCCAGCTGGCTGCAGGTCCCCAGTTATCAGGAATAGACATTACAGTCACTGTAGCAAGTTTTCCTTCTGTGCAGATATTGCTAAGCTGTATCAGCCCTCTTCACAAAGCAGTTTGTACCTTCTGTAAATGTATATAAGCCCTATTATGTTTGTTTTCATTCAGAGTTCACATTGCTAGCGGACTGAAGGTCTGTCGCTTTGCACTCTCTCCTATAGCTGCAGAAATAAACTGCTTCTGCCTGACCTCAGTCTGCAAAATAGACGGCATGTTTATTCACCACTCAGAGAAGCTTTACCAAATGAATTCGGTTTCAAACAGCAGGATCTTGCATATATAAAGTTATTTCTGGTATGGTTTCATAACTGAAAAACAAAGGACTCAACCACTTTAAAAATACACAAAAAATTGTCACAATAACAAACATTTGTATATACCAATATACCACTTCTTTACCAAAGAAGTTTAATGGTGGTTTTTTCCCCCATGTGTTGATTCTGGAACGTAATATACACAGAGCAGCTGAAAAAACCAAGCCCTCACACCTACTAGATAAGAAAGACTCTATCCAAGAAAGCACTTCTGGAATTACAAAATATAGGTAAAAGAAGCTTTTTCTTTCTTTTCTCCCATAAAAATGCCTATTCAAACACTAGTAGCTTATTCAAACTCCAGTAGTATTACAACTGCTGATGGTAGTGCAGAGTCTTGTATAAATCATGCTAGTGCTCCTGTTGTGACAAACCTGCTTGGAATTGCCACTATTCTCTAGTAAGTGTGCTGTCTTTACTTAAAACACAAATCGGACACAAGTAAATTTTGCCTTTCCATGCCGAACATTATTAAATAAAATTAAGGTTAGCATTTAAATTGTTTTACACTTAACTAGACATTTTTCCTTTGTTTGGGTGAACAAATACTGTTTTTTCAGGAAGAGAACATTCTGGAAGGAATGTCTCCCACACAACCAGTAGGGATTTAATTTCTATATTCCTCCCCTTGTTCTGCTTAATACCAACATTAAAAGACTTGATCGCGTTAGCAAAAGATGCTGGAACTTGACATCTCTCCTCATGATACCTTATGGGCACATGTCTGAAAGGCTCTGGACTCAGTCTACTCAGCTCTTCTAGGAAATGACTGCACCACTCAGATGGGAACCGAGCCCTTCAGAAAACTGAGCTCTAAGTACTAGTTTTCCAGAATCACAGAAAAATAGATGTTGGAAGGGACTTCCAGTGTTCATCGTCTCCAAATCTCTACTCAAAGCAGGTCAAGTTAGATCAGGTTGCTCAAGGTCTTGTCTGGTCAAATCCTGAACAACTCTGAGGATGGAGAGTACATAACCCCTTCAGGCAACCTGTATGGCATTTGTTCACTTCCATGGTAAAAAAAAAAAAGTTTTCCTGCTGTCTAATTGGAGTTTCCCATGTTTCAACTTGTGTCCATTGCCTCTTGGCCTGTGGCTGTGCATCTCCAAGAGAAGTCTGGCTTTGTTTTCTCTGTATCTTCCAATCAGATAGCTGCAGACAGCAATTCAGTCTCCCCTGAGCCTTCCCTTCTCCAGACCCAACACATCTCTGTGTGCCCCAGCTCCCTGGCCACCCTGATGGCATCTGCTGGCTGGACTTGCTCCAGCGCGTCACTCTTTCTTGTACTGAGCAGGCCAAAACTAGACACAGTACCCCAGACATGGTCTCACAAGTGCCAGATAGAGAGGAAGGATCACTTCTCTGGGCCTGCTTGCTACACTTTTAGTAGTGCAGCCCAGGTTGTGGTTGGCTTTCTTTGCTGCAAGGACACACTGCCGATTCATGTTCAACTTGCTGTCCACCACGTACCTTAGAGTCCTTTTCTCAGGAGCTGCTTGCAGATAGCTGGTCCCAGCCTGTACAGTGGCACTGGGTTATTCTACCCCAGATGCAGGACTTTGTATTTACTTTTGATGAAACCCAAGAAGTTCCTATCAGCTCATTTCTGCAGCCAGTGACTTTGTATTTACTTTTGATGAAACCCAAGAAGCTCCTATCAGCTCTTTGCTGCAGCCAGTCCAAGTCCTGACTAGCATCCCCACCGGGGCTGCCCTGCCCTTCACCCTGCTCCCAGAGCCACCCAGTCACTCTCTCCTGCTGTGTTCCCTGCCACTCCCAGCAGCATTGGTGGTGCCCACATGGATGAGTAGCAAGGGGCAGCAGCTTGAGGTCCCGTGCAACATCCCTTGTCCTGACCCCAGCAAGTGGCAAACCTCCTGAGACACCGAGCTGGGTCAGCCAGCAGGCTCCAGGGACTGTTCTCTCGCCTTTCCCCTTGGTACAGGTCCTGGGCTTGGGCCCTGGTGTACCCTTATGGCCAGAGTCCCTGGCACTGTATTTCTGCTGCGGCTGTAGATCTTCAGGCCCCCCCCTCCTGCAGGCAGGACCCCCCAGCTGCCAGTCCTCCACCTGGGTAGGCAAGAGGGAGGGTGGGGAAGCATCACCCTGGAGCAGCAGGTCCCTCTGCATGGTTCCTACACCTCCGAGAGTAGCGCTGGTGGCTCCGGCAGCATTCACAGGCTGAACCCTGGGTGCCTGAGGGGTGCTCAGACAGACTTGCGACCTCGCAAGAAGGAAACAACCACAGACCGGGGTGAGACGGAGAGGAGTGTTGCCCAAGAGCAGGATGTGCTGGGCCCCTCTTTGCCGAGAGGACGGTGGGGGCAGCCTTCATGAGCTACGTGACTCCCCACCGCGCTGATGGCGGGACTTTTAGGTGGGCTTGTAGTGTCGTAAGGGTGGACCTGCAGAGGTGAGGAGTGTGACCCAGGAGCACGGGTCACACAGCTTCTTTTTGCTATGAGGGCGGATCTAGTGGCAGAAGCATGCAGCACTGACAGAGTTCACGACCTGTAAGTCACGTTCTTTGAGGGGTGTTTGGGTGGGCTTGTAGTCCTCTGAGAACAGTGATGCTGGGGAAGGAGGGGAGAAACAGGCACCTGTATGGGGGCTGCCATTTGCTGCCAGGGCAGCAGGGATGTGCAACAGCATTCTTCAGCTACGTGAAGGGCATCGCGGGAGGTGTTCAGGTGGGCACACAGTCTGCTGAGGAGGGACCTGCTAGGGAAGGAAGAGGGGAAGTGAGAGTAGCCCAAGAGTAGCGGATGGCTGTGCTGGGCTTTCCCTTTTCTGCCAAGCACGGATATCGTCCCTGTTCACAATCAACAGTTGAATGCCACCTTGTGAAAACATGGGTGTTTTTGGGGGGGGGAAGGCTGCTGACATTGAATAACATTTCTGGGATCTTTCTTCCTTGAACTGCATGGACAAATTTGTGTGCATTCAAGGACCCTCGCTGTCTGAGGTTTGCCAGACAAATGGGCTCGAAATAAGGTGCAACAGGGTGGGTTGCATGACAACCCAGGTGATTAAAGGAATAAGTATCACATGTTGTTGGAGCTGGAAACCATGGCAAACTGCCAGTCTCCTCCCACTGCATGGATA